TTATTATTATTATTATTATTATTATTATTATTTTAAATACTTATGCAAACTGCTATGAACAGTTTATTAGAAAGGCAGAGTATTATAAACAAGACATTTAATAAATAAATTGAACAGCATGGTTGGAAGAACACTCTTCAATTAAAATATGCAGCAAACAAGGAACATCCATTGAAAGCAGTAGATGATGGACAAGCTATGAAAAAGTGTAATAAGTCAATAAAAATATTTCATAATGCATTAGTAACAAAATAAATTAATAAAAAGAAAGCTGTTTTGTACTTCCCAACTTAATGTGAGATCTATTTTGATAGACCTGGGTCTCAGGACAGGATCTCTGGATGTCAAAGAGATTCTCCAGAGTGCTCACAGACATTTATTAACATAGCGCCTTAAAAAGCATTACTCACCCACCCAATTCCTAAAAACTTGGAAAAGTCATTTTTGAACTATAATTCTCAGGATACCCTAGGAAGCACAGCCAGTTCTGAAAGTTGCATTCCCCACCCCCTCCTCCCCCCAAAGGTCACTTCTCCATGATCTGTTCTTAAGAACTGTAGAGTGTAGATTCACATTTTCTTGCCTATTCTAGGGAGCCTTTCCCGGGAACCTGCAGCTGGTCTTCGTCCTGCGGCCATCCCGTTTCATCCAAAGGGCGATCGCTGACATCGGCATCAAACTCTATCGTGATGACTTTAAAATGAAGGTACCGGTAAGCACTTTTTGTTGTTGTTGGAACTAGCATTCTTTCATGGTTTCTTCATCTTCACCCTTTAACTGTTAGCAGTCTTTCTCTCCCGCTGCCCCCCTCCCATGATATCTCACCTGTCCAATGCTTAATAATTTATTGGGCAAAGCAGAGGCATTTGGTGGATGTGCTGCTGCTGGAGAGGGGGAAAACTGGGAGGAAAAGGCATAAAACTGAGCATGGACTAATTGTTCCCAACTGCCCCTGAGATAAATATAGTGCAGTCAGTTCTCTACGTCCATGGATTTTTTATCCATGGATTCAAGCATCCACGGTTTGAAAATATTTTAAATATATATGCATTCCAAAAAGCAAACTTTGATTTTGCCCTTTTATATAAGAGGCACCATTTTACTATGCCATTGTATTTAATGGG